GCGGGCCACGGCAGGGCCGGCCCCGAGGGCAGGTAGCGGCGGCAGCCGGCGGCGAGGGGGCCGCCCGCACCCTTTCCCCGGGCGAGCCCTGTGCGCGGCTCCCCTCAGCCCGCGGGCACCTCTCCCGGCCGGGGCAGCGGCTGCCGAGGGGACCCGCTCCCGACGCCGCTCATGCAGCGCGTCCTGGGAGACATGTTCAGGCAGGTTTTAAAGTTTAGAACGTGTGCGTTCCTGTCCCCGCACAGAACATCATCATCGCCTCTCCAGCCGGGGGCGGCCCCTGCTGGGTCCCCTGCGGCGGGTGAGCGGCGGCGCCTGCCGCGGCGCGGGGGAGCCGGAGGCGCTTGTCTCCCGGCTGAAGGAAGCCTACGCGAGGCAAAGCCTGGAGCTCGGGGGAGTCAGGAATCACCAGCGGCCGCTCCTCGCTTCGGGAGCGGGATGGCGGCTGCGGAGGAGAGCGCTGTGTGAGCACAGCGTAGCCGCGGGGGCGCGGTGGCGGCTCCCGGCGCGGGGCTAAGGCGGAGAGGAGAGGAGAGGAGAGGAGAAGGGAGAGGGAGAGGAGAGGAGCCGCTCCAGCCGAGCGCCTTCTGCCTGGCACTCGGTGCTCCGAGCGCGCCGGCATGCAGCAGTGATTAGCATACATTAACGAGTAATTAGCATCTGGTAATAATCATTCCTGTGCCAGTGACACTTGGATGTGCAGTGCCCGACCCGTGCGCTGAGCCCGAGCCCGCAGCAGCGAGCGGCGGGAGGCTGGGCAGAGCGGGGCCGGCAGGGGCCGCGCTCCGTTAAACGCTGGCGCTCCGCGGCGCCGGCAGGAGGGAGGGAGACTCCCGTGGAAATGATTCCTGGCATTCCTTACATTTTCAGCTGTTTCAAGCAAAGTTTTATTTCTGCCCCACGACTGCCACTAACCAGGCGCAGCCCCATGGAGCGCAGCCCTTCTTCCCAAGTTTCGCGCAGAGGAGTTTAGGAAAGGGCACCACCTGCTACCAGTTTCAGAGCGCCGCGCTCCTGTTGGGGACAGTCAGAGCTTGGGCCGAGGGGTGGGAGCACAAAGGCAGCCGTGTCCATGCAGCCAGGCCGTGGGAGCACTGCCCTTGGCACACATGGCATGGGTATGCTTAGACTCAGGCAGCACAGGCAGTGTGAACCCCAAATACTCACACTTCCCTCTCTTTCTTAGGTAGGCGGGTCCAAATGTGCAAAGCACTGCTAAAATCCCTGGAGATTTGGTTCACACCGAGTGCGCTTTGTCCAGGGCTGCCCGAGGTGCCCGGGTGCGCTCCGCGGCCTCGTCCTGCTCCTGCTGCAGCTGCTGTGCGTGACAGGACTGCTCATGTGCTGCCTTCAGAGAACGGCTGAACTTGTTCCAGCCTCCCGCACCAGGAGGAGTGATGGTTCTTCGGTGCTCGCTCCTGTTTTCTTCAGGCTGAGGCTTGCCAGGCCCCAGGGGTCGGTGCAGGATGCCTCTCTTCACTGTCCTCTAAGGCCGTGGAGTATGGAGGAGCAGAAAATACGAGCCAGGTATAGGAGGCAGGAGGAAACCTGAAGTGGCCCAAGACAATTTAGGAATGGAGGTCGGAGCAAGAGTTGGGAAAGATGTCCAGTGAAATAAAAAACAAAACTAAACTGTAGGTGGGGAAGGGATCTGTGCAGATGGGAAGTTTAGTGGTAGTGGACCTTTAAATATACACACATGTAATAGAGATGACCCTAAGAACTGGTATGCAGGAAGAAGAGATATGGAAGGAGTCGGGAGAGGACAAATGAGTTGCTTTTAGAAGAAATGGGCCAAAAGTGCTGATGAGGACAAAATACTGAATTTGGAGAAAAAGCTGGGGAACAAGAGTCAGACTAGGGTAGGTAAGTGTAGGAACCAGTCTGGACAAGAAAAGGAAGGGCCAGAAGCAGGGGAAGACTCTAGGGTTCTGCTGAAAAGCTGAGCTAAAGACTGTGGAAAAAACCACCTTTGCCTGGCAGTGATTGGTTTGGTTGTCCTAGGCTGTCCTCTCTGGTCTCCAGCACAAAAAGGGCACACAGTTCACATGGACTTAGGTGATACCCACAAGTTCTTCAGTTTAAGCATTGGACATGGGAAAATGGTACTAGATGTCTGGTTTTAGGGGCATCTGAATATCTCTGGCTGTGTCCCTCTCTAGAGCTTTGAATCCTCTAGTCTCATGTTTTGCTATTGGAATTTCTTCAGAATACCTGAAGACAGCTTAGGAGGTACTTCTGTGGCTCTTAACACAATTATATGTGTGCTTCATAGCATTAGAAAATAGAATGTTTCTATGAGATAGAAGGTTGGCATATTCTGATGAATGGTTGAAAGGCAGCTGGGATTATTTCTCAGAGCAGACCTCACATGATTTTTGTTGCAGCAGTTCTGAAAATGAGGCCTCAGAAGGTGCCATACTGACCTACTGCTCATCTATCAAAGGTTTTAAGCATTGTGCCTGGCATCACAGAAGAATTCTGTGGCAGAAGCAGAGATAGTCCCCAGCTCTTCTGGACAGCTTTCATCATCTTAATCCTCAAAAGATTATCCTTTTTCTCCAACAATACTGTACCTCCACAATTTTTCTCCCTGAAAATTAACTGGGTCCCAGCCCTGTGGCTGCCACCTAGTCTCATCTAAAAGAGTCTGACTTTTGAGCCAGGACTTTCACCAAAATCTTCTTCAACAGGTGAAATAGGATTCCCATCATCCTGATCTTTCTGGACAGCAGCTGCTCTCTCCTGCGCCTGATAAGGCAGGATCCTGTTTACCAATTAGCATGTGAGCGTGCAATGCAGAACAAAGGGATGTAAATCAAGTGGCACAGACAGCTCTTTTTTTGGCACATCCTCTTCAGTACTGGATTTTCCAACCATAATATTGCTCTTAAAACATTTTCATGTGCATGTGTGTTTAAAGAAAGGCAAGTTTAAAGAAAATTTATGCAACTTCTAAAGCATAATTGTGACCCAAATTTGTTTGGAGAACACTACTGATCATTTTATCTGACCATGGATGTGCTCATTTTTTGTTTGTATAGATCATTACACAAAACACAAAATAAAAGGTTATAATAAAAGTTATTCAGTTGATGTTTCTAATCACAGCATTTCTCTTTGGAACATGGCAGTTAGTTCCTGTGGTGGAGCTGTGGTGGAGAGCTACTTAAATATTTTTTTTTGGAGTACTATGGAAAGAGGCTGTCTGCTGTGCCAGGAAACCCTTGGACATGGTGGGTAAGAAGAACAGATGCATTCAGTTGCTGGGCCATGGGTAATGCCTGGGAAGAAATGCACATCTGGGAATTCAGTGATATTAATGTGGTGGGAAATGAAGAAAGAAACAGAAGGGGGAAGGGGTGAATGCGTGGTTGGAGAAGAGTTATCAAGAGAGATGAATTACACAAAAAAAGTCTGTGAGAGAAGAATGGGGTAGTAGGAAGTTACATGTCAATGAACCAGTAGCAATAAAGTGTTAGACAATGAATGATTAGTTTTGCTGATAGTTGAGGTAACTGGGAAAAATTGTTGGGCATATGAGGCCAGGCTCACACAGACATGGGCCAGCTTCTATGACAGTGATGTCCCTGCTCGGACACATGACTGACTCCTGCCAACCCCTCTGAGCAGTGTCTCCCATCCAACCCTCTAAAAATGCAGCTGTGCCTCAGAAGTTTTTTCCCCTGTTTCATAGAGAAGTCTAGGCTGCCAGGAGTTCTTTCACATCTGTAGCTGCACGCAAGGGATCATGAACTGCTCTGTCTCTCAGGGACTTTGCTCCCATTTTTCTGTGGTATTGCTTGCTGGCTACCATGTTCACCCAGAGCCCATCAACAACTTAGATTTTCACTCTCACCCCACTTAAATAGCTACATACAACTGTTACAATCTTTTAACAAAACAGATACAGATAACAGACTCATTTAATTTGGGCTGGCCTAGATCCTGGGTCTTGAAGAGAAGGAAGGCAAGTCGTGGCAGCCTTGAGGCTCCTCCAGCTTGTGTCCAAGGATCTGTGGATATCCAGAGCAGAAGCTGAATAAGGTCTCCTCTCTGCTCCCTGCTCTCCAGCATTCAGTGTGAGCCAAAGCTGGGGCAACACCAAAGACCAAGCAGAACTTTTTGTGCCATTTCACTGATGATTGAGATAACCTAAGCATGTTTTGGGCTTGATTACAGCTCAACTGCAGGTAGACAGCACCTTAAGGCATGCATCAGTCCAGACTGATTTTTCCCTGGTCCCAGGTTGTGTGGAGCTGGCTGCAAACAGTTGCTGATGTGTTTGCTCAGGACAGCAGGATGATGACCTTTAAGCAGACCCAATGTGCAGCTCCAGCAGCCCCACAGTGCAGCCTGGTGTGTGTAGTGCTGTTGCTGTGGCAACCCACAGCCTCGCCAGTGGTCTATCACAAAGCATTAACTTTAACATTATGTCTTATTTTATTATAGTTTCTGCACATTTTGGCTTTCTTTCCCCTGGGACCCAACTGCACTGGTGAAGTGTTCCTTCTTGGGGAGTAGAAAATGGCATTTCTTTCTATTTCTGTAGTGTTAACAACCGTGGGAGAGGCACAGCAAAGGGCTGGCTAGAATT